TACATTCTTTTGGGCGTCAACATTCTATTAATGTGTACTAAATATGGATTACAATCAAATAGTCGAAGAGTATGTTAAATATTGCTTTTATAGATTAGATTTATTCCATCACTGCAAATCGTAGTATTTTATTTTAATGCACTTAAAGTGTTTCAAAATGACGTCATCTGTTTGATTAACATTGTAGTCACTTTTTAGACACTTTCAAGTGCATTAAAAGTTACTTCAATGTTAATCACATGAATGACGTCATTTTCAAACACTTTAAGTGCGTTAAAATAAAACACTACGATTTACAGTGTATGAAAGGCACAATATGCTTAATAAAAATATAAGCGTGCACATCCAACACATCACATATTGTAACAATTTTGAAATAACAACATATTTATTAACAACAAAGTAAAAACTACGATTAATTTCAGCATTCTTATAACAAATCTTTCGCTGCTTATTCAATGTTTTTAATAAAAACGATTTTAATATAAGAATTTTTTAGTATTTGCGTGTTCTCTGATATACATTTGCTACAATTCGTGGCTGCACATTGTTCAACATGAATGTATCCCTAATTATCATGAACTCCCTTACGCCTACAAAACATCTCTTCTACCTTGAGAAAGCAAAAAGCAAATCACTAGTTACGTTGACATTATAAAAATAATCAAAGAACATGAATCTTCAATCTAATAACAATAATTCTTATCTGCTTATCATTTTAAACATCTCTCTGTAATACTTATTGTAGATAAAATATGTTAATTATTAATTGGTCATTATAAAAATGAGTTTGTGTTGTCATTTTATTATAATGATTTCAATGCCCTCTATATCAAATATGATTTTTCTAGACCACCGAATTGCTATCTGATGTTCCATATTCACATCTATAAATTAGACTGATTTTCTTGTCTCTTTGAAAATTTATATATTCAATCACTTCATGATAAAAATTCAATTTTAAAAACTATTTAAGAATTTTTGTATTTTTAAAAAATTAATTGTCTATTTAAAATTCAATTAAGTAAAGTAGTATAATGGGTCTAATTGATACTTATTTTAGAATAAATGAATAAATATAATTAAAGAATTTATCGAATAGACATTAAATAAAATATCTATTTTTACTTCTTACATTCAGAATGCATTCATTCCCTTTGAAAGATTACCACGGATATCCTGGAGACTTTTTCAAGGCATGACGTACAAAAATAGAATAGCAGGAATAAATACAGAAGAGAAAAAATTTTGACACAGCTGAAGTATTAAAATAATTGATTCTATATTTAGTTGTCAGTTTATAAACATGATGTATAACATTTATCAAAGAATAGTTGAATAAAAAATTATAAAGAATTATTTAAAAATCAATCATTATAAATAAATTTTTATATATTCATTTTTATTGTAATTTTCTCCAATGAAGATAAAAAAGAAACGTACACAACCTCATCTTCTCTCAATTTTATTTTCATTTTTCAACGACCCTCGGTAATTTTTCATAATTACTATATTTATCTTTGTTATTCACTTAAGACATGTACTTTTCGAGTACAAGTCTATAATCTTATTATGATTTATGTCATCAAGATATTTATCTCATTTGAAAATATTTAGAGCTCACTCAGTCAATAAGAATGTTCAAGCAAGTTGGGATATTTGTCAAATTCTTACAATATACAGACAGAATTTTTTATTATTAATAATAGTAGTAGTAGCAGGATTAGTAGAAAAAGAAAAAGATAACAAATCTAAAAAAAAATTATAATGTATTATCAGAGTGAGCTCTATTAATAATAACAAGACGCAAATAATTAGTAATGCCAAAACAATTTTTTATTTAATTTAATGACAGATCAAATTGAAAAAAAAATATTTTAAGTATTTGGTAACAAAAAAATCCTTAAAACCATTAATATTGTTGAATTACAGCAAAAATGAGAGCTCAAATGATTGATAAGATGATTAAAATTTTATTAATTAAGAAAGATAAACATTTATAGACAGGAAAATAATATAAATACGTTAAATCAAGGCTAGTCTTAGTCGTAAATTAATATAAACAAATCAGTCAGGCATTGCCAATAACAAATTCAGTCGTTTGTCAATCAACATATAGATGGAGATAAACAATTATTTTACAGATGTATCAAAGATTTTGAAATATATTGTTTTATATGTTGACCATGATTAATGAATAAAATATTTTTTTGTTAAAAAGTTAGATCAGAATTAGCTTTATTTTATAATAAAAATTGAATAATGTATCAAATGATTAATAATATTTAGATAAAATTAGCAATGAAATAATTTAAAGTTTTTATCAGGATTTTGATTAAATGATATAGTTCGTTTCAGTTAATCTGTCTCATTAAAATAGTGATGTCACTGATTACTTTTTATTGAAGTTCAAATGTTTCTTAAAGCATTTCATTATTGAGTGATGATGATAGAGAATAAAAATAAATTGTTTGATAAAAATGATTGAATTCAACTTATGTTGAAAGATTTCTATTATTTTCTTTTATTTAATAACAACTTTTGAATAAAGAGTTACCTTAAAAGCTTTTACTGTGTTAGAGTAAAATTCTTTTATAAAAATATGGCTGCAGAATCTGAAAAGAATTTAATAATGTTAAAAAACTTTTCTTCAATCTCAGAAAGTCTCAGTATAAAATGATTATGATCATAGATTAAAAATCTCCATGTTGAATCATATGAGTTAATATTTTTTACATTATTTTTCGACATTACGTTTCATTGTAATTTAATTGTTTTTAGTGAATAATATATTAAACAAAAATGATTAACTATTGTGGTTTTAAAGATAATGATTAAATAAGATAATGAAATTTACAGAATGAAGATTAGTAAGAAAAAAATTTAAGGTATTTATTTTACAAACAAACAATGGAAATTAGTCAAAAATTTTTCTATTTACTTGATTTATTAACTTTGATATTTTCCGAGTTTTATTTATTTTAAAAAATAGAATTAATCATATTTTAATTCAGTGTTCCTCAATTTTTGATTATAAATATATTAATAAAGTATCTAAATGAATTTATATTCGTTTGAAGAACCTAAATAATTGTTGTAAAAAATATCTTCAACACCAATAAATTCTTCAAATTCTTTCTCAAAATAATTTTGTGCAAATATTTATCTTTAATTTTCTCACAACAAAACAACAAAGAAAAACAAAGTACTTATCCCGAATCGTCTTCCTCTCTTATCCATATGTATTATCCATTTGTTCACCTCATTAAATACGTTATTTTCGTGAAAGGACCTAAAATAAGAGATTTCCTTTTTCAAATATTCCTTAAAAATGATTGAAACTTAAAAATAAAATAAAAGGGAATAATGACAAAGTTAAAAACCGAAACTTTTCCAGCAGAATACTCCGAAATATGGGTCCTTTATTTGGAACCGACGATAAAAGTTGAAGTGAAAAAAAGGCAAAGCGAAAAAGGAAGAAAAAAAGGGACGTGGAGACACGTTGAAGTCCGGTCATGTAATCGGTCGTTCGGATAACGGGGTCCAAATATAGTGGGCCTTGTCTTCCGAGTTCAGTCATCTCAGTTAGTGGCTCGTACTCAAGTTAACTCGTAGAGATTATTTTTGCGGTTAAGCAGAGGGAGCTTTTATAAAAGTGCAGAGAGTGAGCAACAAGAGAGTAGGAAGACACTGGCCTCGGTGTAAAGAGAAGGGGCTGCAGTACTGGAAGAGTAAGAAGTTAAGATGGTCCAGCGTGTGCACTGTGGCCAGCATCACTGCAGCCGGAGGTGATGACCTGCTCAAGGCCACCCGCTCCCAATCTCTTATAGCCTAAGAGAGTCCATGCACTCTCTTGTTCTTCTTTATCCTTATTCTTCTTCCCTTTTCTCTTCGGCTAAATGTCTCTTTCTCGGAAAATTTCCACTTCAATTGTTATTATTATTGCTTATTAATTATACAACTGCTGATGATGATAATAATAACTGACTACTGATTATTATTGGCTATTAGTTATTGATTATTATAAATGAAGATCGATTGAATAAGAGAAATCGTGCACGTTTACATACGTTCAATTGTCTTGTATATAAATTTGACCTTGGCTGAGAAAACACACGATGCACATACCAGGCGGAAACGTGCGTATACACAATCGTGTGTGCATCACTAATTGGTGATTATACGTATTCGCAACAGGCATTCAATAATGATCAGGTCAACTGGAGTCAATCACGCAGCTGTGTCCACTATATATAATATTAACAGTAGAACCATTTCTCCAATTAATTATATCCTCTAGTATTGTTTTTTTACTTCAATCGTCTTTGCTATTATACTTGAGACAAATGTTGTCATATTTGTTTTTACTCTACTTATTAAGACAGATTTTCTGCCAAATCATCTAACAAAATTTTTTTTAATCTTGCGCTAAAAAGAATTTTCGATAAAAATTACCGTCATATTTTCAGTAAAATGACGGCATCTTTAGAAAGTAATAAAAAATTTACTTATTTTTGATTAAATGTTACTTTAGTTTGAATATTTTATAAATGTTCATAATACTTTGTTTATTCGCCATTTTTTAAATTTGGTTAAAAATTAATTGCATTAATCGAAAAAAAATTATAATTTTTGGATTGGTTTATAAAAATTGCGTTTAATTCATAATACAAGGTTCAATTTTTCCAACTAAATTAAAATTCATTTGTCAAAAATTTACCTGTAATTTACATAATTAGAAACATTATATCTCGTATTATAATTAATATTAACTTCATAAATTTTCATCTTCAATCTATATATTTTTTTAAGGAACAATATTTCTTCCTGGTAATAATAATTCATTATTCTTACGGTAATACGTTTTTTCTTCTTTTGATTACTTTTTATACTGCACAATCTTGACTTATTTATTGAAATAAATTTTAAATAAAGTAAGAAAAAGAAAAAAAATACCTTGAATTTTCAACTAAAGAAAAACCTGATTTTGTATGTTGTAGTGCAAGATGAGATCGAGCGCATGAGCCGAATTTCAAAGGATCCGGAGACGACGGATAAGATCACAGATAAGAGTAAATGCATTTTTACTTTTCATTTCTCAAATCTTTCTTCTTCATTTTTTCACTTTTTTTCTGTTTGGTTGTCGCCCTTTTTCCGTTTTTTATTTTTTTGCTTGGGTCAACGTACTCACATCGATATTAGCTGTTGATGGGGTTTGCTCACACCCACGAATACCAACTGTGGGTGGTAAAGGCGAGCCATGCACAAGATTCGTTTTTTAAAGTTAATATCGATATATGAGAATACTGAAAGGATCAATTGTTATCTCATTTGGATGAGCCAACAAATAACTTTGCGCTAAGGAAAATAATCTTGATATTTTTACTTTAAATACGTAATAAAAATATCGAGGTTATTTCCATTGAACTTTCAGTAAATTTACCTAACCTACTATAATAAATCTACACTGTGAAGAAATCCTAGTAATAACGATGTAATTTTTACTGGAATTTTTATGAACTTTATTGAACTAGCACTCTAAATTTTATTTGTAAACATTTGTTTGAAAGTGTAACTACTACTTATTTCTAGTACGTTAGGTGTTGCTTTTATTATTCAAGCAATCTGAGGTGTCATGGCAGATGCACTTGTCATAAAGTCATAGCTAGAAAATGATTTTTTATGCGATTATTACTGAACTTGAACTATCAAACGAAATAAGGACAATTGGTTGAAGAATGAGGAAAATATCCGAGATTAAAAAACTACAGTGGTTTGACAGATTTTGGTCGGCCGTATGTAAAACGATAGTACTCGAGTGAGAGAGTTAGAGACATAAAAAAAAATCGCGTGCGCAAAGATCCACATACTTTTACATATCTATAATATATTTTTCCGTTCGAGATATCGTAAATAATCATTTTTAACGCAAAATTAAGACAGTTTATTTACGGCAATCAAGGTGACATATATAAATTAGTTGTTTTAAATAAGTCATGTCTATATGTCTTACTTTAAAATTAATTCTCGAATAAAATAAAATTGATTTCAATATTGAAAACAAAAAAAAATAAACAATAATAATCTATTAGGCTAGCAAAAATATTCCATGGAAGTTAGGTGCTTTAGTCATTTTATGAACTAGAATTTATGATGAAGTTTATTAAATAAACCATGAAATGGGTAATTCAAAATTATCAATAAACTCTTGTGTGCTTAAGATCATCTTCAGTTCTAAATAAATAGCTTTTTGCAGTAAAAAAAACGATTTCAAGTTGAAAATCTTATAGATCATATTAATAACATAATTTAATGATAATCTACAAGAAAATATTGATTATTTTCCCTTAATGAATAAAATTAATCTACCACGAGAGCAGCTAATTATCTATTTATTATCTGCTATAAATGTAATCCAACCCCACTAGGTATTCACTCCTATTACAAAGTCAAAAAAATGGATAAAGTTTACTAGAATTCTTGCATACAATACTTAGCTATTCTCTGTGTAAATGTGTTGATATAGAAAAGAAAGGTGCAGCTCGTGATTTTGCACTTTTACGTTGGCAGAAAAGTATCCAGATCGTTACAAAGAGCTTTCTCAAGACAGATATAAACGTGTTAACTTCATAGGTCTCTTGAGGAATCCGATATTCATCCAGCATCTAAAGGAAATAAGGTGTTAAAAGCATCCCACAAATGAAACAGCCCTAGATATTTAAACCGCGCCTCCACATTGGCCTTCAAACGTTCAGTTATCTATGCACTGTTGTGGTGAAAGTTTACGATTAGTATACTTCGCCCTCAATCCTGCTGTACGAACTTCACATTGAGATTCATGATTTAGATACATCACGAGTTGAGCTGCTATGCAGGAAACTTTTGAACTAGATCAAAACTCTTCTTGCAAACTCCTTATAGCGTGCTACAGATTTAATGTTTCGAGTTAGTTTAATCTTTCCAAGCATTCTAACGTGTTATTAAAGGATTATTGGATGTTTTCACTTCGTTAAAAATTTATGCCTTTTTTTAATCAGCAAACAAGACTCATGTTTATTATAAATAGAATTACTGATGCTTATGATGTTTTGCATAACAATCAGGATTGTTGAGAAAATTACAATTTTGATTAATATTCAGCATTATTATGATGCAATATTACTGTTATGGTAATTATTTAATGAAGTATAATTGAAGAAAGGAATCTACTGATGAGATAAGTGCCGAAAATAATTTGGCAAGTAGCATTCTTGATGAGTAAATCTGAAAAAATATTTTAAAGGTAATGGTTTTTATTAATGAATTAATACACACTTTTATGATTATTTATAAAGTTCAAATTTTACTATATAGAATTATTTTTTTTTCTTTATTTTAGTTGGAGTTATTTCATGGTTTTATGAAGAATTACGAGAGAGAAGGAAATGAGATAAATGAATCGTTTTATTCTAATCATTTTTTTTTCGTACTTGGAAGTTGTTTTAATTATATTCATGGTGGATTAATTTGGCGTTGTATTTGTGAAAAATTTAAAGCTATTTTGACGATAAATCGACGTTGATATCACAATCAATTCAAAAATAATTGTCGATATTTAAAGTATTATTAACTACTGACGACAATTTGTTTTAATTAACATTACGTCAAAATCGGAATAGACTGTGTAATTCAAACACAAAGTTAGAGTCGAATTTCAATAAATCGAGGTTCAATCGACGGTATATGTACTTTTGATTCTTAGGACTTCGACGCATTATCGACAAAAAAAATTATTTTCTAAAATAAAAAGAAACAATAAGTCAGAAATCAACTATAAAACAATCAAAACGTTTATTAAATCAATAGGAAAATCTTTATGGTAGGGCAAACGGCTGACCAGCTCAAGTCTCAGTCAAAAATTAAAAGTAAACAAATCAATCGTGCGTTGCTATAAGCTAATTCGTCAACTGTAAATGTAAAAACATAAAATGCACATATATTTTACAATATTATTAAATTCTCCTTAATCTTACTGAACTAGGAGTAATTTTAAAAATACAATTCTCCCATTTTCAATCTGGAGCAAATTTTATATCTATATATTTTAAAAAATAAATGTTAATATTAAATTATTTAACTATTTTTCGACTTATTAAATTTTTAATGCAATTTTTTAAAGAGAAATAATTTAAAAAAAAAATTAACTCAAATCCCAAATTTATTAAGCCTAATTTTAAAATACTTTAATAACATTTTTAACACAATTTTTGATGAAAGAGTAAGATGAATCAGCGGAGAATAAAATTCCAACATAATTTACATGAAATGAATGTTAATAACGAAAAAAGCAGTTACAAAAAAATGTAAACAGTTACAGTAATGAATTTTTACGTAATATTTATATACACATTTGTGAGAAATTTGTCATATTTATTAATGCACAATTAATTGCATCAATTTATTAAGATCATTTTTGATAAGAAATATAGATGCAATATAAGCTGAATGATATTAAAAAATATAATTTTTAAGAAATCCTCTTGACTGTTATTCGGTGATAATTAAAATTTATTACTTCCTCAGATAATTTGCGGTAGAAACTGGTTTGCTTTGCCTCTTCTAAAATTCATTAATACTCGTTAATTTATGCTATGTCAATGATTTTTTATATTCTTTCTCTTATTTCCTTTCCTCTATGGTCCTTTATCATGATATGTAAATACTATATGAATGAAATAGAAAAAAAAGAACTATGATTGTTTATATTTTAATTTTTTTTTCATACAATTAATGTTTGATGACTTGTCAATATGATGACATTTCAATTATTTATGACAGTACTCAGGAAAACATTAGATCATAAAATGAGCATAAAAATTGTAGGTAAAGATAGAAAAGGTGCATGATGTAATTGCGTGAATCAGAGTGTGCTGTAATACCGCGGTCTGATTACGGTAACAAAGCTTTCAGTCTTATCTTTTATGGATTGCCTTTATTCGAGTGGAATTCAAAAAATTGTTTTTTAAAGTTTTTCATATGTTATTTATGAGGAAAAGATTCAAAGTATCACAAACTGAGGAAAAAATAATAATGAATAGAAATTCTTCTAATTATATAAATGTAGAGTGAATATTAATTAAGTGAAAAATGCATACCATAAAATTTTCATCAATTAAAAAAATTATTTAACCGCGAATAGTTTTTTTTTAGTAACAATTGTAATTAATTATTAATTTATTATTGTATTAAAATAAATTAAAACAATTTAAAGAATTTTTTATGAACAAATGATTATTTGTTTTTTTTTTTATTTGTTTAACAATTAATTGTTGAAGTAAAAATTATAATTTGAGACAATCATTAAAAAAGACTTCACTTTTGTCTCTTTCACAGTTAATAAAGGTTGTTTTTCTGTAGATAATATCATGGTATCTAGGGAAAGAATGTTAGATCATGATGTTTGTGCTCCAAGAGATATATATTTGATCTTAAACATTAAGATAGGTCATATAAATCTGCAGTTTTTTCCAAAATTATTGTTGTTTTTTTTTGTATAAAATATCTCTCTACCTTCAACGACAAATTCACGAGCCATCTCTACACTCAACGGGATTCTCATCTTAATCTCTAAATGGTTGTCGTATAACGAGTCTCCAACTTGCTATTATACTAACCGGAAATTCTTTAGCAAGGTCAATAGACGTCTTTCTAGTAGTCCAAAGCAATTTTAATTAACCTGTGTCGAGTTTGAACATGATTTTCTCAAATAAAGGAAGGCAAAAAGTTGGAGATTAGAAACGTTAAAAATAAAGAGTAAAGATTCTTTCTCTTTACCAATCCATTTATGTTATTTGCTAAACTGTTTTAATTAATCCGTTGAGTGTGACATATTAATTGGAGAATGTCATGTTGAAAAACATCAAGTTTGCAGTCCAATCAACTGCACTCAAAATGACTCACTGTCAGTCAATGAATGCTTGTTGACTTGTTTCAGTGATAGCTGATTTTTCATTGATGTGCAAGATGATATTGAAAGTTTTACCGTTCCTAGTTAGATAATGAATACATTGGAAACTTAATTTTTTATAAATTA